TTCCCCAGTAATTTCTTTTTTTTTTTTTTTTTTTTTTTTTTTTTATGTTTTTGCTATAGGGACCATGCACTTGCCAGAGAGAGGCAGAGGGAGGGAGAGTGAGAAATCACCCCCTGGGGGGTGGCCACACGTAATCACTTCTCCACTCTCCTGTTGGGATTTTGGGCATGCATGCACACGTGCCCAATGCGATTCTCAAGCCAACAAGTCCATGACTCAAATGGTGGTTGGCCATGTGAGAATTCAGATTCTTAAGCACCACACTGCCTGCTGGCCCCTGAATGACCATTTTTAAAAAACATTTTATTATTTTTTAAAAATTATTTATTTAACTTTATTTATTCATTCATTCATTTTTATTTTGACCAGAGAGACACAGAGAGAGAGAGAGAAGGTGAGAAAGCAAGCCACCAGGTCCAGGATTTGAACCATGGTCAGCCATGTGGGAGCATCTAGCACCTCAACCACCACGCCACCTGCTGGTCCCTGGATGACCATTTTTTAAAGTCCTTTTTATTGCAGTTGTGTGCACACATGTGAGATACAGCATTCCCAACACTTGACACTACCCTCTACCCCTGGCTTCAACCAGTCCTGGATCACAGGGACAAGTATGCCCGGCATACTTGGGGCGGTCTCTGGATATGACCCACAGCCTTTCTAGGTGGGTCAGCCTTGTTGAGCATTGCACTTCACTGCTATGCTGCTGTTTGGCCCCAGTAGCAATAAGGGAAAAAAGCAATGAGGTCTCTCCAACAGTCTCTCAAAGAGCAGCTAGTCATAGGGTGGTAAAAGAACGTTTCTGTAATTCAGGCAAAATTCTGCCTATTTTTTTCTACCTTCTATTTTTTACCTCAGAAACAAATTTTAGTAAGAGGAGGAGAACTGATTTACAGGAACTGAAAAGAAGTAGGACTGACGGAAAGGCTTCTATTCCTATGTGAAAATCTGAATGGGGTGAGAGGAAGGAGGTAGATCCTCAAACACCTTCTGAACTAACTTTTTTTTTTTTAAAGTTTGTTAGAGGGCACATGCACTCACCAGAGAGAGACACAGAGAGAAAGTGAGAAAGCACCCTCCCCTTGGAATGGCCGTGCTGCAATCTCCATTTCTTCCTCTCTTTGGGACTTTGGGCATGCATGTGTGAACATGTGTCTGGCATGTTTCAAAAGCCACCAGGTCTGAGACTCAAGTCACATGGTCGGCCATGTAGGATCCAGCCATCCTAATCACCATGCCATGGGCTGGCCCTGGAGTAACCGTTAAGCAGAGATAGATCTCCACAGAAGAGAATGCAGGGAGTTCTAACTGTGGTTCAAGAGTGACAAGCAATGACTCAAAAGGTGAAACAGCCTAGCCCGGGTGATGTGCACTGGTTGATCCTGCTGCTCCACAGGCCGAGGCCACACGGGAGACCCAGGTTTGATTCCCATTCCATCCTAAAAAGCAAGCACGGTGGCATACACCTATAGTTCCAGCCACTGAGGAGGCTGAGGTAGGATCATCACCTGGTATCTTAAAAGGAAAAAAGGGTGAAACTCCACTTTCCCAAACCAAGTCTGTTATTAGCTTTCAAAGCTAACTTACTAAGACAGATTTATCTTGGGCTATCATAGTGACACTGAAGGTGAAACTAAGAGTGTTGGGTGCTATTGTGATAGGCAGGCAATTAGTTGTGAGCGGGCAGCCCTAAGAGAAAAGCGAAAGGCTCATCTAGCTCCGGGTGCCAGGAGGGCGAGGCAATTTGCCATCTTCCTTCCTTTGGGCCTGAGGGAAGCACACAGGGATGATTCGTAGATTTTTCTCTTATCAAAAAGACCTAAGCAAACGTTTTGGTCAATGCCCTAATTCCCATTAGGGCAATGGACTAATTGGGCAGTCTAATTGGGGCAACCTGGCTCGCATTGGGCACCATGTGCAATTAGATGATCAAGTCCCTCATTCTTTACCTGTGAGGAAGGTGCGCAGGTGCAGGAAAAGAACGCGTGGATTCAAATTTAAAGGAAGGACATAGGCGGTGTAAGGGGCCGCCCACTAATGAATATTCATGACCTCTAGTAATAAAAATAACGGTTAACTAGTACCAAGCGCGGTTGCCACCTGGCAATCTGCCCGCCCAAGAACCTTTTTGGGTGTACTTCCTTTCTTTCCTATCAAGTCTTTTCTACCTACTTCATTTGTGGATGCAGTTTAATTTTGCGCCTAGGGACAGAACTCTAATTTTAGTGATCTGGACCCAAAGAACCTAGGACTTCACCACGCAGCTCGACACTTTCCCATCCGCTGACACTATCTTTATTTGTCTTGTGGTTTAGTGTGTGGTCATAAATAAGTCAAATGCTCTTTTGTGTTCCAGTTCCCTTTCAGTGACTGGACTAACCATAGGAAAAACAGAATTTGGCAAAAATGCTGAGCTGTTTCCCTGAGAACGCCAAGGAACTCCGGTTAGGACTTCCTCAAATCAGTAAAACGTGTGAATCAGAGGAGTCCTCCTTATCAATCCCAACTTCCTTCCTTGTGTCCATGAAACAGAGAGCTGGAGCGAAGAGCGATATTCAGTGCTATGCCTTCCAGCTGGGGAAGTGATCACCAGGGAAGGCAGTACTGACTTGGTTTACCCCTGGCTGTGTGGGAGCCAGGAAGGGGAGCTCAGCAACGGCCACTGTCCTGTCCTGGCACATGCAGAGCTCTCCACCCAGCGCCTTGGCGAGGTAGATGCTGGAATGGCACCAGCTCGGGTCCAATACCTGCTCCAGAAATAGGCTCCGGATGTAGGCACGGCAAGCAAACAAACATCCCACCAGCTGTTGCCGAGGTGCAGGCCTGCCCACCTACTGGCTGGGGGGGGGAGGACGCCCCGCAGCCACTCCCTGGCCCTGCCTTGCAGTAAGTCGCTCAAGAGTGAATCTCTTCCCACCCCTGGCATCAGACAAATAAGCCCAGCCAGATGAAACAGCCGATATTTTCTTGAAAACCCTAAACTGTCCCAACCAGCTTTGGCCCTACGTCATTTATGAGATCCAAGACAAGACATTGCCATAGCAATCTTAGGTTTGTGGGAGGGCTGTTTGCTCGCACCCAGGAGTAGGTTATTTAAGACACTGATTCATTCACCTAACCGGTATTTGTTGAGCTCTTATGCTCCAGGCGCTGTGCATGGTGATAAATAAAACAAAACCACGTCTTCGCACGTAGCATGATGAAGGGAGAGAGAGGGCCCACCTGATTAGTTCCTACCTGTGGAGGCATAAACTCAGGGTGCTTTGAGAGCATACGATAGGA